ATGTAATAAACTACTCTTCAGGTACTGAAGACTTTACGTCAGAAAGACGTTAACATATTTTTCATTTTGAAGTGTAAAAAAATAGGCACTGAAATCCTAACATTCAGTTTAAAACAATTACGACATTTTTTTTTTATATTGACTCTGAAGACTCGCGTTCTCCTGCGTTTTACCTATGATGAATCTTTATTATTTTTCTACCTACTGCAGCTGCCAATGAAAGAGACACAGTATAAAAAAAATTTAAATTCAATGTTCTCAATTTGGCTTTTCTAAAATGTTTTGAACCTTCTCTCTGTAGGTTTTTGTTTGAAAAAGCCAATTTTAGGTACCAGTGGGATCGCGCATTGGAATTACTTTTTTCAACATCACTACCACAAATGATCATTGCTATTGCTATCAAGGGAATGCAAATGTACGGCACATTACTTCGTTTGCTTCATTTTTAATAACGAAACGATGTCGGTGCGATATCATCTTATGGCGGAAAGCCTACTTCAGTTGCACTCATTGTATCGCAATTTTTACTATCGTTCTACAGGTGTTTGAAAACAAAATCGTTTAGAGAAGCAAAAACGTCATGGGGTTCCCTTTCTTTGTTTCCCTTGCTGGCAAGATTTGAAAACTTCAATGACATCTTCCCAGTTGCGAGAAGATCTCAAAAAATAGCCCTCCTCTTCTCGCCTTTTGAACGTAGTTTGCAACTAAAACCAGGAGAATACGACGTCCTCGATGACGTAACAAGCACATTAGGTACATCATGTGCTCATCGATGGGTGTGGTCTTATGTCGTGTGAACTCTTACAGGATGTGCAGAAACTATGCAACCTTCTGTACGCACCTAGCGTTATTGAAGTTAAATTTAAAGGGTTTAGAGGGACCCTAGTTCGTTTCAACGATATGCCAAATCTTCAGGTAAAAGTGCTCTTTAGAAATTCCATGTCGGACTTTTCCTCCTCTCAAAATGATATGAGTGATTGGAACACGCTTGGCATCTTCGGTTTCGCAACCGTACTCACTGGGCTATTTGGACACACTGACGGTGATGTTGTTGGCCGAAGGCGGTGTCTCGCATAAATATCTGGAGACACTTCAGGGAAACTATCATGAGGAGCTAGAACGGTTGGAGGACAAGACATACGCTGGTTCTTCTTACATATAACTGGGAAGGGTAAATTGTTACACATCTTCCAGCAAGAAGGATCGTCACACATTATTGTGCGAGAGTTGCAAAGTCTGAAGATAAAAGAAATTGAAAACATGAAAAACTGTAAACTAGTCAACGAAGACGAAGAACTACACAATATAGATGATCAGTTGGAAGAGAATAACTGCAAAGTAGCTGAGATGGGTGGGCCTCTGTGTGATGTCACAACAACAGACACTTTAGCAGAAGATCCCAGCGCTAATAATAATAATGAAGTAAAAGATTTTAGAATTTTAATACCAGACTCTCGCGTGGTCTATGGGGTCAGCGAACTGTGCGGTCAGCTGAAGCATGGCGAATGTTTCTTTCAACCTACGCAGCACGAAGTGGAGCAAAATAGCTTCTCATTTACTGAGTTTGTCCTGGTGATGCGAAGGCCTTCTTATCATGTGGGAGATGTTCGTGTTTTGAGACTGACTCAAGGAAAGGAAGCTTACAAAGGTCTGTACGATTGTGTCGCGTTTCCTGCAAGAGGGATGCGACCCCATGCCATTGAGTGCGCCAGGGGACGGTTGGGTGGTGACAAGTTCTTCGTGTGCTGGGATCAGGGGTCATACTACGGTTTGCTAGCAGTCCTTACATGAGGTACATAACCAGTTCTTCCTCTAAAATAATTTGGATATATCAACAAAGTTGAAATGGTAAATTGGCCACCGTAATGATTACAAAAGCTGACGTTTCGAGCGTTAGCCCTTCGTCGGAGCGAATAGAGGAATTGTGGGTTGTGTGTGCTTTTAAAGGCAGAAAATGGAGCTACGTTATTGGTGGGTGCATGGCAACGAGAAAAAACATGAATAAATTTTTGAATATGCCACGTTTGCTTGTGAGTGAAGTCGACTTTTTCAACAAACTTGGAGCTGTCTTATTAGAACAGGACACCTGTGTCTTCCATTGTGCCCGTCAAAATCACTCTTTTTAGCAGAAGGCGCTCCAACCTCCTTCCCAAGGTCCCGTAGGGAGGGGGGGGAGAGAGAGGACCCTGGTAACGCCTGCCAGTTAGCTCAATGGATAGAACGCTGGACTGCTGTGCGGGGGTCGAGGGTTCGAGCCCCAGCCGGACCAACACTCAAGGTCTTTAAACAAGTGAGAAGAATATGCTACCTTTCTATATCAAGAAATGGTTAGATACTGTAGTCTTCTCGGAAAGGGACGAATAAATGGAGGTCCCGTCTCCTGCAGGGTTAGGGGTAGGAGACGTTAATTTCTCACGCACGAGATTACTGTGTGATGGATGTCCTCCCCTGGGGTGGTTGCTGGCTGGGAATTGGCCCTGAAAAGCCCCCATGGGGAGTGGTCAACATAGGTATGTATGTATAATGAGGTCAATGACAATTGTTGTAATGAAGCTCTTTCGTGGTTTGTTCGTCTACATTTAAAAAACGTTATTTGCAATGCGTATCAACCTTTTTTTACATCCTAAACATCAACGAGGAGTTGATAGAGCACTGGACTGTTGTGTGGGAGGTCGAGGGTTCGAGCCCCGGCCGGACCAACACTCAAGGTCTTAAAATAATTGAGAAGGATATGCTGCCTTTCTATAACATCAAGAAATGGTTAGACATTCTAGTCTTCTTGGATAGGGACGAATAAATGGAGGTCTCGTCTCCTGTAGGGTTAGGGGTAGGAGACGTTAATTTCCCACGCACGAGATTACTGTGTGATGGATGTCCTCCCCTGGGGTGGGATGAGTGGGTTGCTGTCTTACGTTTCATACAGGAGCCTCTGGCTCGGGCAATGTGGGTAACCATGCCCCACGTAAAGACAATAAACTTAAACTTAAAACTAAACTATTTGTAATGTAACATGAAATTCTCTCTGCTGAATAAACCAGTAAGTGAAGACTAGCTGGGGAAGAAAAAATCTGCAGTCAAATCTTGAGGAGTGAGCGGCGTATACGGAGTGAATACGTGCGCACGTATTTTGTGTTAGAAATATCACTTCCGCTTCCTTCAGCTTGTAATCTTATCTTCGCGGAAACGGTTTTTTCTGGCTTAAGGACGGGTGAACAGCAACGGTTTTAAAAATTAAACAAAGTGGAAAACTGATTTATACAAGACTCGAATTTGATGATCTCTTGAAATAGGTCGAGCGTTTGTACGGATTTTTTCTTAGTCTAGACGGCCATTGACATTCTTGAGCAATACGCATGTCACGTGAAAAGTCATCCTGTGGTTAGGCATCAATATTGGTTGACTAAAACCTTTAACAACAAAAAAGGTTTTTACCCTTGACTTATGAAGTGGTGATCGCTAACATTTTATTAATAATGATCTTCTGTTATTCCTCAGATGCGAGGGCAACATATAGTGTATTGATTCTCTTCTCAGTGAAATGTATTTATGCCCAACAGTCAGTGGTCANGCAGGGCTGAAAGTAGGCCCTTTTGTTTAAATCCCACAGGGATCAATGAACGCTTTTCATTCCACTAATTTATTCATGTTTTTCTCGTTGCCATGCACCCACCAATAACGTAGCTCCATTTTCTGCCTTTAAAAGCACACACAACCCACAATTCCTCTATTCGCTCCGACGAAGGGCTAACGCTCGAAACGTCAGCTTTTGTAATCATTACGGTGGCCAATTTACCATTTCAACTTTGTTGATATATCCAAATTATTTCGTTACTCCCACCGACGCAGCCCCAAACAGTTTCTTTCGAAACTATCAGCCTTTCTTCCTCTAAAATAGCCCGCAAATTGTCAGAGGTCACTAAGGGCCTCCCGTGCGTGGAGAGGAAGCCTGTTAGTGACTTGGAAGCAAGGAAAAAGCAGCACAAAGCACACCACGTGCTCGTGAAACATTTTGTTCATTTTAGGGAATACGAAAATTTGCGCCAAAAAGCATTAGAGCTACTTTTGAAGTATGCGTCGTTATTTGGTTTAACGTGTGCCAAATGCGAATTGGTCAAAAAAATGCTTCTCAAAGACTTCGACTGGAGCGAGTATTACGATCAAGTTAAGGAAAAGTTGATTGAGCTTGAAGAAGGCTACGAGATAGAGATACAAGGACTCACCAAATTTTCGCGTTCAACTCCACTCCCTTCTTCATCTCACAATCCTGGTACCCTCGATCGGCTGTTAATCTCTCGGCTCCAGTGGAAGAAATCATCATTTCTACCCGGCCATGATGTCTGGAATAAGATGAAGGCGAAAAGCGCTACATTTATTGCATCTCAGATTTCGTAGTTCAACCATGAAAACAGTATAAAAGCAATTACTGAAACTGTGTTTTGCATTAAAAGTAAAGTGTTACCATTTTTAACTACTTTTTATGGTATTCAGATATTTTAGAATTTCATCTTTATGGCTTAGGCGATGTCGCATATTTATCTGATTTAATTACAATTTCAATGGGAATTGTATGATTCAAACACTTTAACCATTTACTCCTGAGCTGCTGGGCCTGTCTGAGACAGGTGATTACCGCTGTAGCTTACTGCGTGATTTGCTGTCAAGCGTAAGTCTAACAGACATTTCTATATTAGCTCCTAACTGCTTAAAATCCCTCAAAGTTTTCATCTTAGTGAAGACTTGAAGTTTATGTTTACATGTTGATGTTTCTTTATTGGGTTCAGTTATTTTACACTTACATAAGTAAGCCGAAAATTCTACCCGCGTAAGGAAAAGTGTATGGCTGTACCTATTACGATATAGCGAACAGCTGCATGGATCTCAAAGACTGCAGCAAAGGGAAAAAGCAATTTCAATGGCGACTTAAAACGCTAAAAATTTATTTAAAAAATGCGGGTATAAGCAAAACCATACAAGATGATTCCGGATGCTTGGATTTGAGTACCTACAATTTGATTGACTAACAAGATTCGAGTATGTCTAGTACGAATTGAAATAAATTCATATCATTAGATAATTACATTCTTGCAGCTGTACTGCACTTTCAGTCAATTTGGAAGATGTGCTGAATAGATATCAATGGGTGCATAAGTGTACCAAAGTGCAGTAGTTGCAGTGATAGAAACTGAAATAGATTTATGTCAAAAATTACATCAGCCAAAATATACCTTTTAAGTTCATTAATAAACTCGGCAGGATAGAGAAGGCGTAGGGTTTATTTGTTCGTTTTTGATATTTCATTTCTTAGTTGTTGCTTGGTCTTTTGGAGCAATTGCTTCCTATATTGTTTTATAGAATTCACTGAATGGTCCCAAACGCGCAGAGTGTTGACTTCTCAGGTGATAAAAGTGGAATATCACGTTGTAAAGGTTAAAATCACCTTTTTTTTTTAATTCCCAATATTTTGCTGCTCTAACAGAGATTCGCTAAAAAAAAAAATAAAAAAAGTCACGGTACCTTTGCGCAAAACACTCACACAAAGACCAATTTACACATTATACAAAATCTCGCTAAATTTTACAAACTTCAATTACATGTGGTACTCATGACCTCATTCAGGCCTTCGTTATGACCCTATATTGGAGAAGTCTAAAAATATAAGTACGGAAAAACCTGAATCCTAGATCCAAACATTCTAACAAATTTTTCGACGTGGCAATTTGATTTTCATCGAAGTAAACTGTTTGTAAAAGAGCTAGCCGAGAAATGATTAAGACAGGAAATATGTTATTGAAAATGATGGCTGGGAAGCAATTTAAAGCTAGTATCAGAAGAGATACTTTGAAAGCCTCTATCAGTTTCGACTTCTAGTAATACAACTGCACAATATAAAAACCACCAACGTACTCAGTGTCAAATTAAAAATGTCTACCATCATATTTTTTGAGTGGACGTTTGGTCTGTATCTTCTCGGAGACCACTACTCAGGTTATCTATTAATCTTCATTGGTAACTTCTTCTCTGTTACGAATATTCTTTGACGACCTGCAGTGTATTGAGTTACGAGTTAACTATGTGCTGAGTAGAAGTAATAAACCAGTTATATCACCGGTATTTTAAGTTTCTACGGTAAATTTTAGACCTCCATTAAAAAGCTGCCTCCAACAGCGCCCTAAGAAGTTATTGTTCCATTCTGAAGAGCTCTATAACAAATGTGGCGGACATGAAACACGACGTTTTCGCGATATCAAACAGGGTCTTACTTCTCAGCGCGCTTTCACAATTGATTATAGTTTTGACGCTGCTCTTCTGGTTTGTAATTCATGGAGCTAAAAACTCATTCAAATGATTAGTCATTTCATCACAAAGTGCTTGTAGATCTGAAGTACAAAATCTATCAGCAGATCCTTCGCTTTCTTGCGCCTTAGAGCTCTGCTTCTTCTTCTTGTATTCTCTATCAAGCTTTCTAAGATACTTTTCGATGTCATCCCTCTGAGCATTCCAGTCAGTGCTCTGAGACAAGTACTTTCCGAGTGTCTCACATTCTGGACACGACGGCGATTCTTTAAGAAACGAAAAGTTTTTGAAATGCTCCTTTACACTTAAAATTAAGTCATCGCTGCTTTTAAACTCGGCAAAATACCTTATCAGCTCTTTCTGAAATGAGATATCTTCCTTGTGACGATCCCGTGTGGTTGAAGGTACACTTGTATCAGTTGTTATAGCTGTTCTTGCTTCTGGTGTCTCTGCTTTGTCTGTCTCAATTACACTAGCTGTATCTGTGCTTGCTTCTGGTGTATCTGCTTTGTCTGTCTCAGTTACGCTAGCTCCATCTGTGCTTGCTTCTAGTGTATCTGCTTTGTCTATCTCAGTTACAGTTCCTGTATCTGTTAATTCTTCAGAAGGTCTACCACAACCAAGTAATGACAAGAGGTTCGGAATGGAAAAGTTTCTCGAAGAACTTGGAGTGGATTGCTTCAAGAGATTGCTATCCCAGGTAACGAAATATTTGCCGGGAACTGCTTGCGCTTTGGTTTGGGATGGCAAAACAATGCAGTCTTTAAGGTGGGTGTATTGTCCATGACTATCGCGTACAACTTCAAGCTCTTGAATATCTGATGCCGAATAGCATGGCTCAGGAATAACGAGGACTTTTTCTACAAACTCAAACAATTCTTTATCTTGAAGGTTCAGACTATCCAAGTCAGGTGCAAAGACACATTGGTTAGACTTGAGCTTATTCTTTTGATTCTTATAAGGATCAACGATACCGAAGACTTCTCGCGATTGGCTGACAAGGATTTTAAGGGAATCGTCTACTTCTTTCATTTTATTGATTTCGTTGCTCTTCATCTGGCCGATGGTTTCCTTTACAACAGGTGTCAGTCCATCCTCTGTCATCTCAAAGATGTCTTTTCGTCCAATCAGCCGAAGGAAGTACTTCGCATGCGTCTCTGATCCTGTTCCGAGTTTTTCCAACATTTCGTAGTAAAATCTTTGAAGTTCCTTTAAATAATCACTTGCCACACCTCGTTCTCTCAGAAACATCACAGTGTAAAGATTTAGATAACCCATCTCATACGGTTTGGAGTAGTCAATGATACCTATTGTCACTGGGTCACCATAGTTATTCATTGACTCTGAAGTATTGAACAGGACTTCTATTTCTTCCTTCATTTCCTCCGTAAGCAGTACTTTGGAACGTATTTCATGGTCCAGAACGAGTTTACCAGAAAATCCTGGACAAATGACTTGTACAACACTAGGGCTCTTGGAACTAATTTGTTTCGCAAGTTCAGGGGAAATAAACCCACTCATCTCGGTGTTTTCAGCGTTGTTTTTAAATTCAGTCTTCTCCTTCTTTAGCTGCAAGCTTCTTTTCAATGGCTCAAACAAGTCTTTGATGGAAGTTATCTGATCGGGGCACGGGAGGCCAAAGTTGCCAAACTTTTTTCGCCTCTCACTGATTTGCTTGTCCGTTTCAGCGATCAAAAAGCATGTTTTATCCTTCAATTGCACGTCAGAAAATCCTAGAAAGCAATACCTCGAGTCGTCGTATTGGATAGTTTTGGTTAATGTTTCAATTATTTCACATGCAGTATAAGACGAAAACTTGACCATTAAGAGTTTTTCCCACACATTCTGTCTACCATGTTCATTTCCTTCCGATTCCAGCTGGTTAATCATGAGAGAGTTCTTTACTTCTTGGATTTCGAGAGTTTGAGAACCTTTCTTCAGGTTCACACGTCTTACATAAAGTTTCCCATCGCATGGACATTTCAAACGAGGGGTTTCACACTCGATAAACAAAGGTCCGGCCATGCCAGGGAAGCCTTTCTTCGAGTAAACCTGTTGAAGGAAGGCAATCATGAGCCAGACTTTCAAGGAAAAAAGGAGCATGATATAACGACCTTAAAGGTCAACCACTTCTTGGTTCTGTTCAGTTTTATTCCAGCTAATTTTGCTATCAAAAAATTATTTTCGACTTGAAAGAAAAAATTTTTTTGCGGTAATGAAGAAAAACACTAGTCGAATGTATTGAATACGTAACAGTGCTGAAGTAAAACACGGATGACTGATGCCATTATTGCTATGAAAATGATAAGGCAGCCAATAAAAGTTTTACCTTTACATATTATATTGTTGTATATTATTACAATGTACTGTCAGCCACTGAAATCTGCTCGATTTGACATAGTGACTTTTATTTCCCTCAGACATTGCCCCTGCTACTCCAGATTCGGCAAGTACAATACCATTTTTTTGGCAATCTCTCGCGTAGCTTGGAAAGAGGGGATCTGACTGTTTCAATACAACACTCAACAATAGACTGAACAGAAATAATTCCACCTGAAAATTATAATCTTAAAAGAAACCCCTTGTAAACTTATGTGGTGAACTGTGAACTAAACCTGAAGTTTTCCCCTCTATTTAACTTTCACTCCAACACATCAATGCATTAAAACAAATTTCGAGGAATTTTCCCCAGACTGAAAGCTTTACGCAAACGTTTCGAACGACTTACCTCATTCAGGATTAAAATTTACAATGAAGAATCTATCGCCACTCATTTTCGTGCTCAAAACAAACCAGTAAGTTAACTTGAATTTAGCTACGTCGGATGAGAAACTTAAAGTTGAAAGTGGTCTCGGTTATGTGAAACTATCAATAAGCTATCTGAAATGTCGTTTCTCGCTTGTAAGAACTCATTCAACAAAACATTCCTTAGCTCTGAAACGATCTGTCAATAGCTGTTCCGACAGTGAAGGGCTTAAGTGTTCATAATCGCTGAGTAATATGGCAGTCAACATTTCATAGTAATGACAATGGACAGTGGCTAAAAATACCTGCAATCTAACGTCCTCTTCACATATCACATTCAGTCTTCTGTCCTTTGTTAATAGAATGCAGAGAAATACGCTGATGCAGCGAACCACTTCCTTACAGCCCAGGACACCTCTTAATTGTTGTTTGTAATCGATCGAAACCGAAAGTTGGGGCAGTCCTCGGGTTAATCTGAGAGATTACTTTTCGAGGGAAAGTTTGACTCTTCTCTAGTCGCTTTGTTATCAAGATTACACGTTTAGCGTCATGGCAGTTTTATGTTTACCTTTTAACATCTGAAGCTTCGTATGGAATGCTTGAAAAGCGACGGTCCATATAAAACGAGGGCTGATTTCTGAGAAAAAGACTTGATTGACAAAGCATATGCTGACAGATTGCAAAATGACAACGCAAACAAAGGGCTGTTGGTTTCGTAAATCAAGTCAATCGGAAAGGTAATTAATGGGCAACGAACCATAAATATGTTGTGGGGTTGAGAGTGGGTAGTCTTCCGGCTGTAATTTTCTTTCGGCGCGGGAAAAAGTTTGGACACCTGTTAGCAAAGCATGATATTTTTCGACGCTAATAGTTTGTACTTGAATTGTTTTATGTATTTTCCTAACATTAATCCTTTCTTTTTTTAATTAACATTTAGTACTTTCACTACCCCCGCCGCCACCACCTCCTCTAGAAGAATGTATTTTCTAACGATTCTTCTTTGCTAAGGTCGGAAAGGTCGTGGATCGTAGACGAAAAACATCCGCACATTGAAAAGACTTTTTATAGATATGTCAGTTGTGCGGGAGGAGCATATACCGGAGATGTCAAGATAACCAAACAGCACTCTCTCGGCATTGTGTTTATTCGATTGCGGTATTTCCGAGAAACTCAATTTCTAAATCGATATCAGTAATACGTTATTAAAATGATAGTTAAGGGGCTCTCAATTATAAGGAAGCAGGAAAATTAAGCAGGAAATAAAACACAAAAAGGGCATCAAAAAAGGTTCTGCAACATGCAACTACCGCGGAAAAACAATAAAACGATTGAAGGAACTCTGCATGACTGCCTACATTCTAAGGGAATTTCCCGAACACATTGTCATATGCATGCAAATTCAGCACAAGATGAACCAGAATCAGTTTGTGACGCTTTTAGTAGCAGAAATACATCGAGTCAAGATTATCAAGTTACATCTGGAGAGTCGGTTGAGGGGGAGAAAAAATTTACCAGCAAAGTTACAAGGTAGGAAAGTAAGAGGTTTGCTTGTTTTACGAATTCCCAGGCAGAGTAGGTAATCAGTAGTCGTAAATCAACCAGACAGTCGAATTTGGTTGTCAAAAGGTGACTCGAAGGGTAATTAAAGCATCGCTCATATGTACTGAATGCTTGCCACTGATAATGTCGGTAAAAATTCAGTCTCTTTCGCTGAAACGAACGATTAAACATGAGTTCATTCTGGTGGAGTCAGGTCAACTCAATATTTGTCATAGTCTACCATAAAAAAATATACATATATATTTTATTACGTCTAGCACCCCATTAAAGCTTGCTTAAAAGAGACCCAGATAAACAAGAGGCGATTTTTCTCGGTCGAGGCGTCTCTTCTTCAGTGGGAACAGGGCCCTGAAGGAGTAAAGTGCTCCCTTGCATCGCGAAATATAATGCACTGGTGGCATGAATCCAATGCCTCTCTTGGCAAACATTCGCTCACGCGTCGCAAAGACACGCTTTACGACTGAAAATAGCTAATTGGCGGGCGGAAGTTGGTAAGTTCGAGTCTCGGAAGGATTCATGTATCCTGTTCAACGCTTGCGGTAGCCGTATTTCATACCTCTAGACGATGAAACGCATAGTTTATATGTTTATGTATTTGAATAAATCGGGGAATTTCTCTTCAATAGGGCTAAACTTCAGTTGCAAATTAATCATAGAAGCAAGGAAAAATTTGAAACACACGTGTGCTTCGCACTTTCGCTGTAAAATTTCACTTTCGTTTTAACTGACAGAACTTCAGAATTGACGAATTCCGAAAACAAACTGTAAGAGAAAGAGAGATTTCATATGTCAAAACAAGAGTTGATCATCAATCGGAAAACCCTTTTGTAAAAGGTGATGTAATTAAAGAATTAAGAATTTCTTTTTGGCGAGAATTCGTTCGCGCGCATCTTAGCCTGAAAGAACTCTTCATACCTCAAAAACCCATATCTGTCAAAAGCTTAAACCTTTGATAGGGAAGGAAAAAAATCAATAAGAAGCATTTTTTGAATAAGCTTCTCGTAAAACCTTGATGGTCGGTGAAAGGAACCGAAAGTGATGACACCGCGGGAATTTTTCCTGACATTCTAAATAATAGATCAAACAGAATACAAAGCCTGACAAACAAGTTAGCATCCTGATTGGTTCCACCAAATATCTTAAAACGTTTACAAAAATCAGTGAGGCCAATATTAGTATGAAGGGGAATGTCCCTGTCGTTTCTGATCTTAAATGGTATGCAAATTCAACTAATGCGCGTACGAGGCACACACACAGGTCATAATAACTCCAGAAAAGATTTAGATATAAACACTTGTACTTGGTTAACAAGAGTTTAGACAAGCAGGGTAAGGGACTCAATTATTAGTAATTGAAATCATTCAATCAATATCACTATCGGTTAAGAATGATATTTTTTTGGGATTTTACTGCCGAGCATCCAGTTCTAGCCTTGTGGACAGATAGTGTTCCGTATACCTATTTCAGATTAATCTTTCAGCGAAAGCGCAACATTAATTCCTTCGGAGCCCCCTACCTCAACTACGGCTTAATTACAAATTATATACAAGGTGTCTTAAGTTAGTGTACACAAATCCTCCAATTCAGCAATATTGTATGCTATGATATGATGATTTGATAATTCACCTATGATATTTAAATGAAGAATCGATAATTTCGTCTAACGGATATTGATTAAAATAATCCTTGTCTTGAAGGGGGCATACATATTTAAGTTAGTAACAAGGAAAGAGTGTTACATTTTGAAATTATATGGCACGCGAGCCTCTTTCCAGAAATGAACCTATTGCCTGAGTGTGTTAGGGAATCTTATCGGCGCTCACACCGTTTGTAAATATATTTCATTTATTCAAGCTCTGAATCTGTTTTATCATAGGATATAGAGTCTAATATATCCGATCCCTGCCGGACTACAAAATATACATCAAATGGCCTTCCATTTATGTATAGACGTATCAGACGTTGATAGGCCAGAAAGGACTGCCCAGGATGATATCCACCTAATTCATGTTCAGTTCCATGGCACTGGTCAAAATGACTTTAATGTGGAGTATGAAAAGCACAAAAGCACCCTGCTGACAGAATACCTGAGAAAACGCGATGGGCCTGACTTTCACGAAAATCTTATGAAGCTGACTTTTAATATCACGCCTGTCGAAGATGCAAATAACTTCTGCCTAAGCGTTTTGGAAAGGGGAATATTTTGTCGTCAACGTTCATACCTCTACTTAGGCCACTCAGATGAGCAGTTGCGAAAAAAATCTTGTTACTTTATTGCAGCAACACATAAAGAAATCCACGGTCTCTTGTCACAGTTTGGAGACTTTTCTGATGAGAAAAACCTAGCAAGGCGGGCCAGGAAAATCGCTATGCTCTTTTCACCGTTAACCAAAACTGTGAAATTGGCTGAAAGGGACTACAAAGTCGAACCAGATGTGACAGGTGGAGTTTTCTACTCGTATACTTTCACCGATGGATGTGGTTTCATGTCTGTAAAATTCGCTTCCGAAGTGCAAAACGTCTTAAATCTTGACTACAAGCCTAGTGCCGTCCACGTACGCTACCGAGGAAACGAGGGCATGTTAGTTCTTAAAGAAGATCTGAAAGACGTCAAAGTGCAGTTCCACAACTCAATGCAAAAGTTCCGGGACCCTGATGGGAAAAAGCCCGAGGTTCTTAATTTCGTCAATGTCATGGATTATTCAAGCCCATACGTCAATGGTTATCTCAACTCTAGGATGATTATGTTGCTGGAAGAACGAGGTGTGTCAGCCCAGAATCTAGAGGCCTTACAAGATGGCTACCATGAGTTGCTGGAAGGCATATGTCGAAAAACCTCAGAGTATTTCCTGCAGTTAAAGGGAAAGTTTGATCTTCTGAAGGAAATCCAAGACAAAGGAATTGACGATGACATAAGAAAGCACCTTCAGCATTTACAGAGGTGGGAACTGGAAGAAATGGAGAGAGCTTCGTTCACAAGAGTTCTTGTCCCCAACTCTCGAGAAGTGTTTGCTGTGTGTGATCCTCTCAACAAGTTGAACTACGGTGAGTGCTACTTCAATCCTACTGTCGCAGGTGACAAGACAGAAAGTTTTACTGCCGGCCAGAAATTTGTGGTGATGCGAAGCCAGTGTTACCATCCAGGAGATGTGCGTGTCTTGAAAATGACCGACAAAAGAGAAGGGTACGAGAAACTGAGGGACTGTCTGGTGTTGCCCGTCAAAGGCTCACGCCC